TGTAAACAAAGCCGCCGAAGATTGAGAAAAGATGTACAGGTTCGTAAGTGCTTGCGTAACTGCTTCGTGAATCTGGCTTCAGAGCTCAACCCCTGCATGCACAACTAGGTGAGTACACACACACACACTCACACTCCAATAACATAAACAAATAGGACTGAAACCCCGATGTAGAGTGTGTGTGTGACCTTCACTGTTGCATCTATCCACCCGTGGGGGTCCACTGTCCCGGTTACTGCCATGACTCACCAGCCTAACACCAACGTAACTAAGCCAGTGTTCCAAGCTTTCACTTTCTAGCTACCAGCTGGGTGACTGTTCACCCGGGCCCCTCAGACAAGCCGTCAACACCTGTGGGTGACAGGGCTCACCATAGCCAGTGCTACTTGGAACTCTTGGGTCCCAGTAGCTGAATCTAACACAACATTAACAACCTGTGTAGGTAACAGGGGGGGGGGGGGGGGGCTGTGTTTGATGGGTAGTTGGTGCTTGTTAAGTCTGGGGACCAGGAGCCGGATTCACGAAGCAGTTACGCAAGCACTTACGAACCTGTCCATCTTTCCTCAATCTTTGGCGGCTTTGTTTACAATTATTAAACAGTTAATGAGCTCCGAAGCACAAGGAGGCTGTTTATAACAATAACAACAGTTGATTGGGCAAGTTTTCATGCTTGTGAACTGTTTAATAAATGTAAACAAAGCCGTCAAAGATTGAGGAAAGATGAACACGTTCGCAAATACTTGCGTAACCGCTTCGTGAATCTGACGCCAGGTTAGGTCCTGGTGCTCATCGTGTGGGATACGAACCGGGAGGCGCCGTCACCACCCAGCCGCTGCTCTCGCCTAATAACTCACACTTTTACGGCATCAATAAAACCGTTAAAAATGCAATGTATTAGTAAAAATTAAAGCACCGTAATACTGACGTAATATTAAAGCACCGTAATACTGACGTAATATTAAAGCACCGTAATACTGACGTAATATTAAAGCACCGTAATACTGACGTAATATTAAAGCACCGTAATACTGACGTAATATTAAAGCACCGTAATACTGACGTAATATTAAAGCACCGTAATACTGACGAAATATTAAAGCACCGTAATACTGACGTAATATTAAAGCACCGTAATACTGACGTAATATTAAAGCACCGTAATACTGACGTAATATTAAAGCACCGTAATACTGACGTAATATTAAAGCAGCGTAATTATAAGCACGACAGGTTAATTAAGGTGCTCTAGCTAACTCTGGAAACAACCCGTCCTCGGCTCGAGTCCATTCCATCCAGTGGTCGACCCCACAGCAGCCCGTCCTCCAAACAAAGACCCAAAGTCCATTCCATGCACCCGCCAAACCCCAGCTGTTTATGAATAAAAAACAGATTACACACGACTCACAACTGCTGACGTTCGAACACTTCCGGAACAAGTGCTTCACTGACGACTGGTGTTCGAACCACAACGCTGTAAATGCTTCACCCACGTACTACAAGTACAAATAATCGCCAACAGAACCTAAACACCTAACCTAACCTATGCCTATATATGCACAATACGCTAATATATTATAATATTAATTTATATTTGAGAAAATTCCTGTTTTGAATGAACAGCATGTAAGAATTTATGAATGCGTCTGTGGGGTCGACCGCTGGATGTAATGGACTTGAGTCGAGGACGGGATGCCCACAGACGCATTCATAAACGTTAACATGCTGTTCATTCAAAACGGGAATTTTCTCAAGTATAAATTAATATTATAATATATTAGCATATTGTGCATATATAGGCATAGGTTAGGTTAGGTGTTTAGGTTCTGTTGGCGATTATTTGTATTTGTAGTACGTGGGTGAAGCATTTACAGCGTTGTGGTTCGAACACAAGTCGTCAGTGAAGCACTTGTTCCGGAAGTGTTCGAGGTGTTATAGGGAGCCGGTCGGCCGAGCGGACAGCACGCTGGACTTGTGATCCTGTGGTCCTGGGTTCGATCCCAGGCGCCGGCGAGAAACAATGGGCAGAGTTTCTTTCACCCTATGGCCCTGTTACCTAGCAGTAAAATAGGTACCTGGGTGTTAGTCAGCTGTCGCGGAATGCTTCCTGGGGGGTGGAGGCCTGGTCGAGGACCGAGCCGCGGGGATACTAAAGCCCCGAATTCATCTCAAGATAACCTCAAGATAACGTCAGCAGTTGTGAGTCGTCCTTATACGAGCCCGTCCCAGCGTGCTTATCACTCACGCAGCTAACATTTACATCACACAAAAATCACTACAACTTTTCAACTTGTGTGACGGAGTACCACAATCTGACTTGTTCATGTTTTAATGTGCAGGTTACATCCTGCCTCAAGATGACCCTCCCAGCCTCACCAGCTTGTAATCTGCCTCTTAACATCATCTTAAGATCACTCATCTCGGGGTCTGCACACCTGGGGCCAGATTCACGAAGCAGTTACGCAAGCACTTACGAACGTGTACATCTTTCCTCATTCTTTGACGGCTTTGGTTACATTTATTAAACAGTTTACAAGCATGAAAACTTGCCAATCAACTGTTGTTATTGTTATAAACAGCCTCCTGGTGCTTCGGAGCTCATTACCTGTTTAATAATTGTAAACAAAGCCGCCAAAGATTGAGGAAAGATGTACAGGTTCGTAAGTGCTTGCGTAACTGCTTCGTGAATCTGGCCCCTGGCCAGCAGCATCACCTCGGACGCACCATAATAATCTATTGCAATTGTTGCAATGTTAAGAAAAATTACATTAATATGATTTTATTACTTTTTTCATGTACGGTCCTTGGACGGTTTTGGTTATAAAAGACTTATTAGCGCATCGCAACTTTCAATAAACTAATTGGTTTATGTTCTTGTGATAGCGAGCTACCCAGAGCCACGTAGGCCTATGGCACGGGTCAGTTATAGTGTCCCACGGTAGGCCTATGGCACGGGTCAGTTATAGTGTCCCACGGTAGGCCTATGGCACGGGTCAGTTATAGTGTCCCACGGTAGGCCTATGGCACGGGTCAGTTATAGTGTCCCACGGTAGGCCTATGGCACGGGTCAGTTATAGTGTCCCACGGTAGGCCTATGGCACGGGTCAGTTATAGTGTCCCACGGTAGGCCTATGGCACGGGTCAGTTATAGTGTCCCACGGTAGGCCTATGGCACGGGTCAGTTAGTGTCCCACGGTAGGCCTATGGCACGGGTCAGTTATAGTGTCCCACGGTAGGCCTATCACATATGTGGTGGATTATTTTGCCTTCAGTAGGACTCTTATGTCTTAAAGTACAACTATGCTGACTTACGTGCTCATTCACCAACCGTACATCAATCCCAATGATGGCGTATTGAACTATCCTATCTTAAGATAGTCTCACTAAACTTGTACTTAACCTGTTCTAATTTAGAACTATCACTTAACTGATTAAATTGGCATGGATTAATACCATTAGTACTAATGAACAAATCCACAAGGGCCGTGACGAGGATTCGAACCTACGTCCGAGATCATCCCAGACGCTGCCTAAATTGACTGAGCTACGACATGGCCAAAAGAGTTGAAACCAGAAGTTGTACCTAACTCACTTGGATCCTGCAGCCTCTCCGAGACACAAACCAGGGTTTTACACAACTCCCCCATGCACTCGAGCTATGTCAATTGGCCGTTCTCCATCTTCGCCCTTACTTCATTGCACACATAAATCACAATGGCATGATGCAACATCGGACGAAGGTTCGAATCCTAGTCACGGCCCTTGTGGATTTGTTCATTTGATGCATCACACTATTGTGATTTCTGTGTGTCATTAAGACTATCCCATAATTAGTTAAACCTTCAATTAAACTATCCACAACATAGATTAATATGATGACCAATCAAAACGCCAGAAGATGGAGAGATGACGATTCGGTCTGTCCTGGACCCTGTAACACCCATGACCCCCCCCCCCCTAGAGTTCACACCCAGGGAAGCCATCTCCAAGAGGTCAGCCCAGATGACCTCCGGATTATCTTGTATGTTGATTAAAAATTCCTGGGTTAGTCTTAGTCAGCTAGTTTCAAGTATGTAATATTTCATGATACTCTTGTCAAACATTGTAATGGAATTAGACCCCAGATTCTTAGGTGTAAACATCCATGGATCTCCCCCTTTTAGCCAGGTCAGAGGTCAGCCACACTCGTAATTAATAATTCCTCTCTTGAACAGTGTATGGTAAATGTCAAACAAGCTTAATGAAAAAATTCTTGAGTGTTTGTGCACGTGTGGCCCGACCTCTTTCGGTGTAGGTAGCAACAGCAAATCTCCCCCTCCCCCCCTTTTGGGGTGTATATATGGTCCTGTGGCAGACTTAGTTTAGAGAGAGTGCGGGACACCAGGGTCCAGAGTGGGTCTGTGAAGAACATCTCACAGCCAGGGAGAGACAGAGTGAATCCACCGGAGGGAGAGACAGAGGTCTTAAGGTAATGTGTGTGATCTCTGAGGGTTTTGTTCCATGTCTAAATTTCTTAACTATTGGCCAGTGTTAGAGTAGGATTTATAGTGGTGAATAACATAATTTGTTCTCAATAAACTCATGTTAAACTTCCCGTCTGTGTCAATTGTTAAACCCTCTTAGCCTCTAGATATAGTTTGCTAACAACCGTCCCATAATTAATGACAGTTAAAGGAAGAGGACTCTCCAAGTCAAGCAATGTTTCTTGCCTCGTTGCTTGATATAGTCTCACTGGACAAGGCAGATGGTGGCAGCGTAGATAATCCTGTGTAGCATTTCCTTTTTGGCAGTGTACCTTTGGTTCCAGTCACTCAGGATATATATCAGTGTAACCATTAGTGTTACAATATTAGTGTTTCATTATTAGATCATATTATATAGTGGATATTACGTTACATATAAATACAGTCTTTCAATAGCAAAGTGTTACCAAGTGCCAACGACAGGAAGTGTTACTCAGTATAAGTAGTAGTGTTACATTATTACTTTATATTATATTCAAGGTGTTACAACCATTATCAAGTCGACTGTGATAATGGTCTACAGTGGTCTTGGTAATGGTCCACAGTTGTCTTGGTAA